CTAAGACAGCAACAAACCTCACTTTTAAATGATATGAGGGAGTAATAGGAAGTAAACATTTCTCATAGATTTCAAAAAAGTGTCTGCGTTTTGTCTCATGATAGAAACACAGCTGGGATGAAAGGCGTGCGCCACCAATGCCTGGCTGGGTGGCTTTTGACACAGCACCTTCAAGTCAGTACGTATGAGGTAGTCTAAACAGTTCCCTGCGCCTGATCTTGTTAGTTAGTTTTTTTATGTAGATAAGCCTAGCAGTTGGGGGCTGGAGGCAGGGTGGACATGTGTTCTGCTTGACTTCATCGTGAGTTTTAAGCCAGCCTGAGCTACCTAAGCCTACAGAAGCAACCACAAACTCAACCAAAGCGAACCAAAGGGTGAACATGGACGGAAACCATCTGCACTCCACGCTCAACTGTTTCTATTTCACCCACTGTCTACACACAGCTTCTCCTGCCTCGGGTGCCCAATCCAAAATGGAAATTTACATGTAATTTTAATGTCTTCTTTAGTTTGGGCAAGCCATTCCTTCACCACCTCCTCTTTGTGTTTGTCTTCGTTAACAACCTTACAGGTTTTGTAGTGGTCCAGAGTTTGCCTTATTTACTTGGGTTCAGGGTTTGTGGTTTTGGGTAATAGTACTACAGACACCATCCTGCTGCATGAGTCACCAGAGGTTCTCATGATGTTAATTGTCTCTCAATTAAGGTGGTGCCTACAAGGATATCCTTGGGAAAAAAAAAAACATTGTTTATCTGTTGAGTAAGGATCAGATGGAGAGAGATTTTGAGGCCACACGTGTGTTTTTATCATCACACTTTTGCTCAGTTAGGATGATTTCCGTCAGCAGTGGCTGTCAATTACAATGGGGTTGCCAGGTAGTGTGGACCGGAAGCGGTGGTGCTGGGAATGGGACCAGGACTTTGTTCCTGCGAGGCCTGTGCTCTCATCACTGAGCTATGTCCCTAACCCTTTCTCAATTCTTAATTTTGAGATACTGTGTTTGCTGCTCTTGTTGGTGGCGTGAACCTGGAAGAGCAGGGTCTAAAAATGAGGCAGACTAAAGAAAGCCTCAGCAATAGTAAATTTCATTAGAGCTCCATACAGTTTCTATCTGAGGGTTAAGGAGAGTCACTGAGTAAGGTGTACAATCTCAAGTTCAAGCCCAATGTGGCAAAACCACGTTTTTCCATAGAGGCACATGAATAACAACATCTAAAGTAAACTCACGCCTATCTGCTACACCTGGGAGGAGCATGAAAACACATCCCAAGAGCAGTTCGGTGTGAAACTGAGGTCACAAGACTCTTGTCTTGTTTTCTTGGAGTGTTCCCACAACCGCTCAGAATTCCCCTTGCAGGACTCCATTCTTGCACCAGTTCTGACACTCCTGTCACCTAGGCAGGCCTTGATCTTGTGTGATTTTCTGTCTTTCCTCAGCCTCCCAACTAACTGGAATTACAGCTATGGACTACCACGTCTCTTTTGTTTGTTTGCTTGTTTGGGTTTTGAGATGGGATCTCACTACACAGCCCTTGCTAACCTGGAACTCACTCTGTAAACTAGGCTGTCCTTAAACTCACAGAGATCCACTTGCTACTGCCATCTTAGTGCTGTGTTAAAAGGCATGTACCACATGACCATCTACCATCATGTCTTTCAAAAAATGTTTCAGTGACCCAATTTCCCCCTAACTCTGTCTTCCTCCTCTGCCCCCATTGGGTCCCAGTGACCCCGTTTTCCCATGACTAACTCTGTGTCCTCCTCTTCTCTGGAAGCTCTTCTGTACAGCCTGTCTCATTTCCTTCACCGTTCACTCTCCATCCTTTCCTTAGTCCAACCCACGTGACTTTCCATGTTGCTCCATGGAAGTGATCCTTCCCAAGACTGATCTTTGACCTCTGTCGTTTCCAGTTCCCACACCAGTTTGTTCTGACTTTGCTTGTCTTAGGTTCCTTTCCTATTTGTACCCTCGTGTTTTCCTTGAGTTGTCTGTTGCTCTAGCGAAGACTTCAAGCCCTGTATTGAGCAGGTGTGGAGAGAGTGGACAAATCAGTGTTTTGTTCCTGATGGTAGTGAAAATGCCTTGGGACTTGTTTGAGAGCTGATGTGGTCACCTTCTCAGAGAAGCCTCCTTGGCACAGACAGAAATAGGGCACCCCACGGTTTCCTAGTTTTGTTCTTCTTCTTTGAAATTATTCCCACCACGATACCTGATTCTTTTCTCCAACCAGTATTTACGGGTAACCTCATGTAGATCAGAAAGCAGGTCCGTAGATCAGAAAGCAGGTCCTTCTTTTTAAGGAGTCTACATCTCAGAGGAGGGGAAAAAGACAGACAGATCACCAGCTTTGGGGCTGTGGTACTATGATAAAGGGACATCACGTGATGTGGTCATGTGATCGACACATGTATACAGGTGCAACCTTGCGGGGGCTTTCGTGAGTTGTCCCGGAAGCTGACACTTCACGAAGAGAGTGATCCAGACTTGCCAAAGTCTAAAAGAGCCAATTCCTGGGCAGAATTCACAGCAGGACAAAGGCCCTGAAAGCCAGCAGCTCAGGAAAGCAGGCCAACAAGATAGGAGAATGGCAGGCAGGGGCAGGAGCACTTGGGGAGACACAAATATGGGAGGTGGGACCTAAAAACACCTATCTATGAGACTTCCGTAGATTTTCTTTGTGGTGCTGGGGAGTCAAACCTAGGTCTTGCTCATGCTGGGCAGACATTCCCCTGCAGAGCACATACACAGCCAATAGTGGATTGAGAGAGGGAGGCTGCGTGGTTTGATTTATGGCTTCAGTCATTGCTGGTTTATGAGAATTACAGAGGGACCAGACTGAGAGCCGAGCGGGAGGAGCTGTGGCTGCACGTACCAGGTTTCGGCAGTTTGTGTCACTACATGGTTGGTGTAGCTGAGAGAAGTGGAACGGCCTGGAGACGGGTTTGGAGGCAGGCTGCTAGGACTCGCCAGTATATTAGATGTGCCGGGTTTCTGGAAGTGTGATTTAAGCACAGGGGGGCCTCAGCAGCTTTCCGAAGTAATGGGCAGGTGGTGGCGTTTATGGATGTGTGGATGACTTGGACGGTGGTGAAATGTCCTGTTGGAAGGAATCGAGGACACAAGAAGGTACTTGGGAATGTGACTGCGAAGGCCAGGGACGCAGCCACAATCTGGGGTCATTGTCTTAGGGCTGGGTGGTAGCTCAGTTGATGAACGTGTGCACAAAGCCTCGGGTTGACCTTCATCACTGCAGAAACTGAATGGCAATGCACTCAAGGCCATCGTTCCAGGGCTGCTGTGCTGTGAGAGACTATCTCAAAACAACAGCAAGGACAACCCACTCCCCCGCCTTCACGTTTGTTCATTGTCTATAAAGTTGTGAGGCCGGGCAGAGTGATCTAGAGTTGGAGTGCAGACACAGAGGAGAGCCCAGGGTGGGCCTCGGACACTGCAGAACTCAAGGGCTGGTAGAGGAGGAGCTGTGTGAAGAGGAAAGAGGGAGCCGCAGAGGAAAGAACTTGCTAGAAGGACCATTTCTGGGAGGTGGGAGATCAGTGGTGGTGTACCGCCTAGAGCTCCTTGAAGGCACAGCCATAGAGGGGAGCATAACCTTGACTCTGGTTGCCCCATGGGGATGGTATAGCTAGAACACTTGGATGGCAGGAGATGAAGCATGCTGTGTGCTAGTCCCTAGTTCCTTCCAGGGAGTAAGCAGGTTGTTATGCAGATTTAAATTTCACAGCGTGGTTTAGCAAGTAATGAACTGTTTCCCCCGTACTCGGTGTGCATTTAAAGATTTATTTTTATGTATGTGTGTGTGTGTGCCTGCATGAATGTATGCGCATCGTGTGTGTGTGTGTGTGTAGAGCCTACAGAGGCCAGAAGAGGGCATTGGTCTCATAGAACTGAAGTTACAGGTGCTTATGAGCTGCCTGATGTGGGTGCTAGAAACTGAGCCCAGGTTCTCCATAGTAGTGGTGAGCCATTTGAATTTCCGGGTCGTCCTTCCAAGCCCCACCACAGTGCTTTTCATCTTTGCCACCAGTTGCTGTTTATTTATCAGCTCAAGAAATAATACGCGTGTCAGTTTTAACAACGACAACGAAAATGTGGTGAGAAAGGCCATTCTGACTGGGCCACCATGATGCGTTGTAAGGGCTGTGCTGAGCTGGTTTCAAGCCGTGGTCTGCTGGTGCTTCTGTCTGAAGGTGTGTGCCTACCCCCACTCACCTCCTCCACTGTCAGGTATGGGTGACCACAGCGTCCTACAGGGTCTCTGCAAGTGGTGAATGAACTGAGGTTCATCAGAGCCCTCTCTATGAAGTGACCCTCCACTGGTATTATTTTTGTAAAAATCACTGGATTAGCTATCTCATGATTTTATTCTGAAGTCTCTTAGATCAGAGCATCACAAGATTCCTGCTGATGCGGCCCTGTGTGAATGAATGGTGACGAGCCTCGGGGAGGGTGTGCCACCCGGGAGAGCGAGGCTTCTCTAGAAACTCAGAGGAAATTGGTTTCTTTGGCTTCAGTTTTTTATCTTCTCCTGATAAATATAACTGTTCCCTTAGAAACAAATAGTAGACTCTGGCCTGCTTAGTTGTTATTGACACCTTGACGCAACCCTGGGAAGAGGGAATCTCAGTTGAAAGGTTGCTTCATCACGTTGGCCTGTGGGAACTTGTCTTGATTGATGATGATGAGGAGGAGGAGGAGGAGAAGGAGGAGGTGGGGGGGATCTGGACTATGAAAGAGAGCCGCTGAGCATGAGCCAGAGAGAACTGGCTCCTCCATGGTTTCTGCTTCAGTTCCTGCTCTGACTCCATGATGCACTATGACCTGGAAGTGAAAGCTCTTGGTCATGGCGTTTACCACAGCGCAGACTCCAGCCTATGACAGGCTCCCTGGCGTCAGTCCTGGCGAGGGTCAGTTAACTCCACGCCTGTGCGCGTCCACCGATTGCTACCTGATAAACTGTCCTCTTTGTGTTTCCCTCCAGGGTAAAAACCATGGCAAGAAACTCCGAAATTATTACGCAGCCAACAGCTGTCCTCCTCCAGCCAGGGTGAGCAGCGTGGTAGAGCCTGTAGCCACACCCCTCCTTCCTGTCCCGCCACAGGTGAGGCGAGCAGCGGGAAGAGGCTGTCACATGCATGTTGTCAGGAGCGCTGGTCCTGTGACTCTGTCAGGGCCAGTCTGGGCGACAGCACCCTCGAAGGTTCTTGGTACTCTTTTTTTTTTTTTTTTTTTTAAGATTTTATTTATTTATTTATTTATTTCTTATGTATATAAGATTCTGCCTCCATGTATGCCCACATGCCAGAAGAGGGCGCCAGATCTCATTACAGATGGTGGTGAGCCACCATGTGGTTGCTGGGAATTGAACTCAGGACCTCTGGAAGAGCAGCCAGTGCTCTTAACCACTGAGCCATCTCTCCAGCCCGGTTCTTGGTACTCTTAATGCCTTGAGAGGTGCCTGCCAGCACTTGACCCTCGAGATCTCTCATTGGACTTGACCGTGATGTGTGAGAGGATGGAAAAATAGTTGTGTCTATTTTTATATAGCTTTCAGAATTCTAGGTTAAATGACCATGTGATAGCTAGGCTTGGCCCTGGGGGAATAATTGAAGGGCTGGAGAGATGGCTCAGTGGTTAAGGGCTCTTATGGCTCATGCGGAGGATCTGGATTCTGTTCCAAGCGCCCACATGGTGGCTCACAACTCTCTGTCCCTCCAGTTCCTAGTCTGGTACATGGGATGCACAGAATACATGTAGATAACAATCTCATACGTATAAAGTCTAAAAAAATTCCACTAAAATATTACTTATCTTGAATGCTTTTGATGCTGGCTTAAATCCTGCACACTAGATAAGTCTATAATTGGTTTTGTTCTAGTGCTGGGCCCTGGCCTCATTTAGTATTTGCCATTACTTGGAAGTGTTAGCCTTATTATTCAAAGCATGGTCCATGGGCCAGCTGCATGGGCCTCATGGGGCTTTATTAAAAGCCTGGGAAAGCTGAGTAACTTTCCATGATGTCGCATAGCTTAAAATGTCGCAGAGCAAAAATTTTTTGTCATCTTAGTGTTCCCAACTACCAAGGTATAATGTTACTTTCCTGAGTGTTTCTCTGCTGACAGTGTGTATAGGTGCCCCTGTTGGGCCCCCTCCCCAGACTTACAGAAGATAAGATATATTCATTGCAGCAGGGGCACTTGCAACCCAGTGGTTTCACATTAGGGGTTCCTTCAGGATAGGTGCTCTAGAGTCAGGCGGCTGGGCCCTTCCTCCTTGGGAAATAGCCCCACCCACCTTATTTGTTTAGCATGAACCTCTGTGAAATATGAAGCTGTCGTGCTGTCCCCTGAGAGTCTTCTCTTCCAGGTCACACAGTGCTGCTCTAGATAAAGGTGTGGTTTCCACAATCTTAACCATATGATCATTTTTAGTCAAAATTTGCTTTGTAATAATTTCTGTTGGCCCAATGGAATTTAATCCTGACAGCGTTTGGTTTCTTTTACTTGTTATCTGGGTTCGCTAAGTCTTTCCCCCCTGGTTATTTACCCACACGTGGTGTGGAGAGTTTGTAGAACTGGAGCTTTCAAGACTTGGCAGCTTTAGTCTAGGCGGGCTGCTCGGTACACAGTTGGTGCTCAGTAAGTGTTTGCTGGTGGATTTGGAGCACACTTCCCCCTCTCTGGGAAGATTTTAGCCTTACTTACCACCTCCTGCCCTAAATGTCCACACTTTGAAAACATTTCTTCAATAGAGATAGCGTCATCCTAGGTGGTTCATAGGGAGTTGGAATCTCCTAGTCTCCTCCCTGGAATTGTTTTCTTCTTACAAGACTCAGTGCCTGCGGCCCTGCCTAGGCTTTGGCTCTGTTCTGAAGGATCTGGGAGGAGTGGGGAGGTGTAACTGTCCTTCTGTGTCTTTACTGGCAGGTGGGCTCCGGCAAGCCAGGGGGGAGAGTGATCCTGGCCACAGAGAACGACTACTGTAAGCTGTGTGACGCCTCCTTCAGCTCCCCTGCGGTGGCTCAGGCCCACTACCAGGGGAAGAACCACGCCAAGAGACTTCGTCTGGCTGAAGCTCAGAGCAGCTCGTTCTCGTAGGTATTGCTGTCGTATCTGAGACCAGATTGCTGTGGGAGAGCAACAGTGTCTACAGGAGGAGATGACAGGGAGCCCTGTTTGGATGTCTCACTCGTTTCAAATTTATTTTCTCCAGGGACTCTGCAGAGGCAGGGCAAAGGCGGACCCGGAAGGAAGGGAGTGAATTTAAGATGGTGGCCACCAGGAGGAATATGTACACAGTCCAGAACAATTCAGGTATCCTGCATGCTCCCATGTACCTCGCAGGTGTAAACAAATCTGCAAATGATAGCAGTAGATAGCCCCAAGAAATTAGATTAGTGATTGTTCTACCGAATTGCTCTGCTGACTGCCTACACTGTTTATTTCTGGTGTTCTTTCTTCCTTATTCGGTATATTACTTACGTTGCTTTTAAACCTTAGTGTTTTATAATTCCTCTTATAATTCTTGGTTTTTAAAATATTTGTCAGAAGAAATATACAAAGCACATCAGATAATAGGCCTTTTAAGGGCTGGGAAGGTGGTGCAGTCATGCAAGCTTGAGGGCCCGAGTTCAATCCCAAGCACATATGGTAAAAACCAGACACAGCAGTTCACGCCTCTAGCCTCGGGTGGAGATGGTGGGTCCCTGGAGCTCACTGGCCAAACAGCCTAGCTGAGTCAGCAAGCTCCAGGGGCAGTGAGATTGCATCTCAAAACATCAAGTGGAGAGAGATTGAGGAAGACACTTGGTGTGCTCACACTGTACTTAGGTCTTGTCTACTGGGGGAAGGGTGATTTTTGACCAGGTAGTGAATGACGGTTACCTGTGACGTTCTCGTGATGTGCACGTTCAGTGGGGAGCCATGTATCTACGGAAGTGCTCTGTGTGCATCCTAGTCCGGACAGCCGCAGCCTTCAATAGCAGTGCCTATTTGCACGAACAGTAAAACAAAACCAAATTTCACTGGCTAACAAGAGACAGCTCGTGACATTACAGAGGCAGAGAAACCTGTGGTCCGAGTGCAATCTCAATGCATTACTAGTTAGGACCAAAGTCAACTAAAAGACAAAGATGGTGGGGCTGAATTTCAAAAACTAGGTGAGATGAAGGAGCCTCCCAGAGCTGTGTTAATGTCAAGGAAAATGTACTTTAGGGTGTGGGTGGCAGAGATTATGTTCTCTATGTAGAGTATTAAAAATACAGAGACAGCTGGAGTGAAGGGTCTTACCATGTTGCCCACACTGGCTTCAGATTTGCTACAATCTTTCTGCCTCAGACTCACAAGTGCTGAATTCCAGGCCCAAGCCACCGCGCTTGGCTACAGTCTTTAAACACTCTACTTACTTTTAAGAGCCGTAAGCCTTTAGAACCTGGGCTTGTCTCTGTAGACAGTACCCTGGCACTAGTTAGAGAATCGTTTGTGTTTATAGATTGAACTTATATAGGCGCGTAGTTTAAAAAAACAGTCCATTTTCCTCTCCTTTATTTAAAGTTAGAGTCTGGATTGGAATTTAGAATTATTTATTTATTTATTTATTTTTAAATATTTATTTATTTATTATGTATACAATATTCTGTGTGTATGCCTGCAGGCCAGAAGAGGGCACCAGACCCCATTACAGATGGTTGTGAGCCACCATGTGGTTGCTGGGAATTGAACTCAGGACCTTTGGAAGAGCAAGCAATGCTCTTAACCTCTGAGCCATCTCTCCAGCCCCTAGAATTATTTATTACAATGAGAACTGGTGGGTTGTTTTTACCAAGTGGGCATTCTGAGTATGTGTGCGCATGTGCGCGTGCGCACGCGAGCGTGTGTGTGTGTGTGTGTGTGTGTGTGTGTGTGTGTGTTACATGCGTGCAAAGGCATGTAAAGGTGTGTCAAGGCTAAGATCAATTTTGGGATATCTTTTTCTATTGTTCTGTAGCTATTTTTTGAGCTCACTGATCGGCTGGGTTAGCTTGGTAGTGTGTCCCCACGGTCCTCCTGCCTCCGCCTTCCCAGCACTGGGGTTACAGGCACAGGCCACAGTGCCTGGCTTTTTCTGTGGGTGTTGGAGAGCTGAACTCAGATCCTTCAGCCGTCTCCCAGCCCCTGATTATCTCACTTCTGCAGGTCCTTACTTCAATGCCCGCTCTCGGCAGAGGATCCCGCGAGATCTCGCCATGTGCGTGACTCCCAGCGGCCAGTTCTACTGTTCGATGTGTAATGTTGGCGCTGGTGAAGAAGTCGAGTTCCGGCAGCATCTGGAGAGCAAGCAGCACAAGAGCAAAGTGTCTGAACAGCGCTACCGGAGCGAGATGGAGAATCTGGGCTACGTGTAGCCATGGCCGCCTGCGCTCCTGGAGAAACTGGTCCTGCCTGTTGTTTGCCTTCTGTCAGCCTGCCTTGCTTTGTGGTCCCCTTAATCCATACATTCCTCATTCCCCTGCTGAGGATGGGTATCTGCAGTCCTACCATGAGTACCACTTGGGGTGGGGTTTGAGCAGGTGATGGGCTCTCCTGGAAAACACCGTATATACTGTCAAGCGACTTATAGTATGCGACCCACCTGCCCCGTCGGAAGTAACTTTTTTATCTTGGCCAAGTTCTGTTTCACCAGGAGTAGCCTGACTGCTTAGAGCTATGACCATTTAAAAACGGCATCTACTTTTGCAATTTTAGTTTTATGCATATTAGGTGAAAAAAACTTGACTTCAGTTTGTCCTTCAGATTATAGTAAAAAGATAAACAGATTCCCATTTCCTGATGTTCCTGGGGAGCCATCACCCCAGTGTGGTGCCGGGCTAGTACATGTGCTGTTACGGTGTGTGCTTGGGTCTCTCGGCAACAGTTCGTCCCCTGGGGCGTGTCTCTCTGTAATTGACACGCAGGCTCTTTTGAATCCAGACACTTCCAGAATACGTAGGTTCTTTTGAAGCTGTGACTTTATCTCCAGTTGTGAATTGCACACATTTAATCCCCACCTCCCCCCTCCTACTTGGGTCGGTGTGTTTGCTGAGATCATCTCATGCCCTGGTCGGACTGTCAGTCTGGGACTCAGATTTGACTATCTGATGAGTTGAAGATGGATTATTCTTTTAAAAAATATATTTTCAGATGATTCAAGGAAATGCATGGATGTGTTTGCGGTTTCAATTTGGGAATTATATTTTCACTGATAATTGCGTCAACGCGTCATTGTCTGTGGCTTTTTGATGATTGTGTCCTGGCACCGCCCTGGCAGGTGACGGGCCCTCCTGGGAAATACCACTCTTTCTTCCGTGGAAAGTTTTTTTTTTTTTTAAGCTGATCGAGTTTCAGTGTCCTTTCCAGTAGAAAAACACACAGACGTTGTGTTTTCTTCTTTACTTCCTTGAGAAGACTGAAAACACAGATGGCTGTGGTGTCTAATGACTCTATTGGGATTATTATTTTTTAAATAAAAAGCCATAGTGTATGTCTAGATCGGCTGCCGGAGTATTATGTGAACCTGTGTTCACCGTGTTTCCTCTGTTTTCTACTTTTCTTCATGTGCTAAGAGCAGTGTGCCTGTCTTCGTAGGGAAGCGTGACTCCGCAGAAGGTTTATAGTAAGCGGTATTTTGCACTATGACAGATGCACAGTTTATTATCCTGTCACTTCTGGAAACCGCTGTGGGACCTTGAGAATTCTCCAGGCACATGGGTGGAGAGGAAGGAAGCGCTCACTTCTCCCCCTTTCCACTTTTACTTCAGAACAGTTGAGACTCACAATTAAAGGTCAGTTTTATGATTAGCTTCTAGAACAGTACCCGGTTACTTTCTCCTGTTGAAATGATGGTCTCCTGAAAAGTAGAGCTATTTGGTTAAAGTATTTCCCCCCTTCGAAACAGAAGAAAGAGCAGTGTTCCCTTGAGCTTTGATCTCCGTTTGCAGCTCCTCGTCCCAGAACCCCTCCCTCTGGGGCCATCTATAGAGCTGGTCAGTTTAGGACCATTTAGCACGTGTCTTTTTAGCCATTTGGTTCCTCATTTTGCTGCTAAGTATAATTCTTCAGTAGATTGAAGCATAGTGCCGGCCACTCGGTTCTGTGATTGTTTTAACAATCTCCTTTGCTCTCTCTGCAGGGGTATGTGTCTGTGTATCTCTGTGTTGGTGTCTGAAGATACATGCTTCCTGCCCCCTAGTTTTATGTGATACCCCAGAGAGAATTTCACCTCATCTTTATCTCAGAATAACGTTGAAAGATTCTGGTATAGATTTCCATTTTATAAAAGTGACATTTCATCTGCTCTGAAATTTTCCTTTGGGAATGAAGTCAAAGGATGTGTCTTCCCCCACTCTTCTATATACCCCTCATCCTCCTGTACAGCCCCCATTTTCCTGTATGTACCCCACTCTTGTGAATTCCCCCTCCTGTATGTTCCCCAACTCTCTATGCCCCCCGCCTGTATGTTCCCCAACTCTCTATGCCCTCCTCTCCTGCACATCCCCCCACTCTCCTGTATGTACAAAAAAACAGTGGACTTAAGGGCTTGATGTGTTATCAAGCCTCGTGAATTCAGGTTTCTAGTCTCCCAGTGCCCTTAATGGATGTTAGGGACGCCTAAGTATGGTTTCTTTTAGAGAAAAATGTTAGATTTATAGAGTTATTTCTATATTCCTTTGCACTTGTTCTATGACACGCCAGTGCCAGGTTGCCTACAAAAACTCAACTTGTTTCTAAACTCTGGAAGCTGATAAGTCACTGCCAAGGTCATTGTCAGAGGTCATGTGGATGTGCGGAACCCTTGGAAGTTCCCTGGGCTGAGGCTGTACTGTGCAGTAGGTGGGGCCGAGGGTAGCAGGGTATTGAGGCTGCATGGTAGTGTCCCGTGAAATGAACTCGGTGTGGAAATTATCCCTTGTCTGACCAAGCTGTGGTGGCGTCTGAGTCAGTTAAGTGAGCTCTCTGTTGGTTTCATTTTGGGAGGCCTTGTCCTGTTATATGAGACAACCCCCCTCTTCCCCAGGAATCGTCTGTCTCATGATATGCCACAGTCAGTCATGGACGGACAGACGTCCAAACAAAGGCAGCCTTAGTCCAGAACGAGGTAGATTTCAGGTCCATCCGTGTGCAGCTTTGCTGTCCTCTCTCATGACTGTGTCTTGTTAGGAGGGCCATCAGAACACCCAGATCCAAGGCCACTTCCCATCTGGATCCCTCTGCCTTTGGAGGGCATCAGCTTTGAAGTCCAGCTACAGCCCATGCATGCCCTTTGGTCTTTTAGACGTCACCCGAGCAGAAGACTTGGCTGGTCTGGGTTAGTCTGTGTCCTATCACTTGCAAACCCGTGCCTGTTGTTTTATGCTTGTCTGCCTGCCTCACACAAGCTGAATTTTGCGTGTTTTTTTTTTTCCACACCGTTTGTCTTAAAGAGAACTTTCTCCTCAAGTCTTTACATTTTAGTTCACTGTGAGCTTGGGAGGTCAGCGAGGAGTTTCTAAGCCCTGGCAATGAGTGACGGACCGTGCTCAGAGAGCGTGTGCACGTCCTGTGATCCGAGGCGAATCAACCCCCTCGCCCCACAAAGCTGCCCTGCAGAGCTTTGAGTAGCCCGCAGTCTGCAGTCTAAATAAGGCGAAGAGATGGTGCATCTTCTTCCTGTGACAGCAGCCTCTTCCATCCTGTGTCGCCTGGGACTCGGCCATAGCCATCTACGGATGGTGATGGGAAATGAGTCTGGACAGAGAGGAAGCGGCTACACAGGGCTTTCTCTGTGGAGGGGTTCTGGAACAGCAGGTTGGCTCTGTTAAGTGTCAGAATTTCGCTGAAAGTATTTACTAGCTGTGAGGTGTGTGCCCACGCAGTGGAGTGTCTTTCGAGGGGGGGACATACTCTGTTGGTGTATGCAGAAGTTTAATGTAGATATTTGAACAGGTGTTTTAGGAACGTTCTACCTTGCCTTCCTACTTTAAGTCTCTCTTAGGAGTTTTTTTTTAATACGATGTAAAAAATGCTTAGTTGCCTTTTGTTGTGGGTGAGTGAGTGGATGGATACTAACCGTGGAACTAGCTTCTCATGAGACATTTATACGAATGGTGTGTGGTGGCATTCCTCCCCATTATCCGTAGAGATTCTTTATGGAACTCCCTTTCTCTGTCGCTACCAAAAAAGTCCTGGCTCGTGGTCCTATGTGACCTTGTGTCCGTTAAGCCCCAAATATGAGTGCCTTTAGCAAGCGATAGCATTTCACAGAGGGTGGAAGTGACAGAATTAATGCAGCGAGCCACCGTCCATAAAATAGCTTGAAATAGTAAAGGTCCTTGTCAGTTCTGTTCTATGTCTCCCCCCCACCCCCCTTCTTAGTGCAATCTCAATTTGCTATTGGGTAAAACTGCACTCTATAGAAACCTGGTTACCGTGGTTGGCTGTAGTCACTGGGTGGGCTATGTCCTGATTGCCGCAGCCGGCAGCAGTCGCCTGGGCGGGCTGTGTCCTGCTTGCCACAGCTGGCAGTAGTCGCCTGGATGGGCTACGTCTGGTTGCTGCAGCTGGCAGTAGACGCCGGGGTGGGCTATGTCCTGGTCGCCCTGGCTGACAGTAGTCCTGGGCGGGCTATGTTTGATGATGCAGAGAATTCAGCGTGAGATGCTGAGGTTAGAAAAACTTCCTATGCTGATGGTGCCCTGGCTTGGTTCTTCTGTAGGGCAGAGAGAATTACGTATCTGCACATAAAGTGCACTGAGGGACAGCCTGGGACAGCAGCTCCGGGTCATCTGGTGTGGATGGAGGGGCCTTCCCAAGCAAGCTTGAGGCCTTTGAAAGCAACAGTTTTCTTACTTTGATTAACTGAAAACTTCAAATTCCCTGAGTCTTTACAATCTTTCGAATGTATGACTAAACTAATTTTTGTGTGGAAATAGCAGTGTTGGCCTCAACGTTTTATTATGAGGAATTTTGGTTTTTGTCAAGGCGGAAAGCGTTTGCAGCGTACCTAACGGTGGGTGTCCTCCCCTGCCAACATCTCCCCACTTGCATTTCCACGTTTCTCCCCAGGAGCCCATCACCGTGATCGTCTTGTCTGTCCGTCGTCAGGACACAGACAGTGCCCCTGCTGTGGGTGTCGTGCACTAGGATTTAACATTTAACCGCTAATACCTTAGCAAAGCCTCCCGTGTCGGTCATCACGTGAGCCAGTGACCAGTCCTGGTTCTCCCCTGTGACATCAGCCTTCCATGTTTCTGTTCTTGGAGTTTCCAGCAAGTCTGCAGCAGGTCACCTGGCCCTCACAGGCTACATCCCCGACGGGGCTAGCTGTGAGCCCTCCCTGGGCGCTGTGGCCACTCACCTCCTATCCTGTATGTATCAGAATCAACGCTAAGACAACAGTCCCGTCCGTTGAGGGGTGGGCGAGCCTTAGGGCTGTCTGCAGCCAGTCACGCTGAGGAAAACTGCCTGTCTCCATCCTGTGCTCACCTGCTCTGCAGAACTGAAGGGAGACTGACGGGCAGATAACTCAGGGCCCAAACTTGATTGCTTCTGGATATTAACCTTAGGCTTCCAAAGTGAACTGAATGCTTCTTTTGGGCTCTTAGTAGGGCTGTGTTTATTTTTGTGAATTAGAATCTTATTTTTTGACATTTCACAATTCTTTTGGCATAAAGATATTCTTGGGCATTCGTTGTGGTTTTCTTTTGTAAAGGTTCATCTAGCCCAGGCTAGTCTTAATTCTATCTACTATGTAGCTGGGATGACCTTGAACTCCCAATCCTCCTGCCTCCATCCCTTGGTGCTGGGATTACAGGCATGTACCACCATGCCAGGCGATAATCGTAGTTTAATTGCTAAACTCTCACTGCGCTGTTGAACACCAACGAATGCAGGGTCTGTCTGATTCTTCGGTCTTTCGATGGCGTTCATGGTCACTGTTACAGTAAGTGTTCCAGCAGCCCCTCCCTGTGGACATGGTGTTCGTTATCCCTTACCACTCACGAGGTCTCTATCTGATTTTTCTTTTCTTCCTTTTCTTTTTAAAGAAAGTGACTCCGCATGTCGGGATGAGTGATACTGCCTTAGGGCAAAGGCAGCATCCATACTTGGGAACAAACCTCTTGGAAGTGGCTGGTCATTGTTCTGCCTTCTCTTGGTACCTGTCAAAGGCTCTGTGAGCCGGTGTGTCGTCTTGTAAGAGTCTCATGTCGACTCTGCTTACCTGTGGTCCCCCAGTCAACCGCAGTGACCTGGCGTGGGTTTGGTGTGTCGTCTTTGAAATGCCTTACTGGGTATGCTGTCCGCTGAGACCCACATGACTTCTCTGGGATGCGTGCTCTCGATCCGGAAGCAACGCGGATCTCGCTTTCAGTATCAAGGGTGCATTTTAACGCAGTGGTTGTCTTAAGCTAGGAACGAAGTAGAAAGCCAAGAGACTTTGGAACCCTTCACGTGATCAATCCCATGGCGAGCTGTAAATGTGCTTTTGCTGATTTACTCTTAAGAATGCAGCTGAGAAGTACCAGTCCGAACCACAGAAGTGGGGCTGTGCCCTGGGATGCTCTCCGCTTGTCACTCGGGGGTTGAAGACCTGAGCAGGCTGTCGGGCAGTAGGCCAGTCTCTGTTTGGAGATCTCCTGTTCAGGGGGGGCTACAGAGCTGATGGATATGTCACAGGCTTCAAACCAATCAACTGTGAATTGTGAAATTGAAATTGCCCTTTCAGTTTTATTTTCTTCTGCCTATTAAATATAGAAGTCTGAATGTTATTTAAGCTTCTACTGCTTACGTTGATGGCTCATCTTGGCTGTGTATTCTCACGTATGTACTGATTTCTGATAAAGGCTTGATGATATTGTAACAGGCTTTTTGTTCAGTTTAATAAAATGGTTTTTGAGTCTTGTCTCAAAAGTGATTATGAGTTGGAAATCACGGGTATTAAATGGTTAGCACACGGGCTAACAGGTCTGTGAGTTTTCCATTCATGGCGGCGCGTGGCCTACTGCACACTTTCCCTAGGCTTCAAACACCCAATTCCCAGTTCTCAGATTTGCTGTGGAATTGACCTAGCTGTCTGCCCCACCCACCCCCCAGCTAGCGTGGTACTGGCATGTTTTCTGTTTTGATAATACCTTTTTTTTTTGTTTGTTTTTTTCGAGACAGGGTTTCTCTGTAGCTTTGGAGCCTGTCTTAGAACCAGCTCTTGTAGATCAGGCTGGCCTCGAACTCAGAGATCCGCCTGCCCTCTGCCTCCTGAGTCCTGGGATTAAGGACATGCACCACCATCGCCTGGCTTGTTGATACCCTATAATATCCAAGAAAACGAGCCCAGAAGAATGTTGACCACTGCTTCTTGAAAGAAACACGCCAGAGCAGGCGCTCATCCCTCTTTTTGGGGTGCTTCACCTAGAATGTGCGGTTATAGATACAATCGGTGGAATGCAGTCAGCGCAGAGGCGCGGTCTTCAGAGTGGGTCAGATGGAGTGGGCTTTCGGATTTAAGTGCCCATTTGAAAAGCAGATCATAAGTTTTAAAATGGCCATTAGGGTTTTTAAAACTGGGGTGCAGGGCATCAGAAAATCCTTGTGTTCGCCTGAAGAGATGTCTCCGAATGAGGGGGTGTATGATATTGAACGTGTGAGATGGGACGGACTTGAGGCATGCGCACTAATTAAATCATTTCCAAGAGACCTTTAACGTAAAAGGCACCTGGGGCGAGGGGGCACCCGCAGCGCCGCAGCCACAGGACCATTGCGGTTTCTTTTCCTTTAGGCTTTGAGACCGCTCCATTGGCTCACACTCCGAACCCATGCACAGGTCGGGCCTTCACAGCTGCTTATGAGAGCAAGGGCAGCAGCGGTGAACGCTCCCGGGATGTTGCTGGCCTGATAGGAGATTGTGAAGGCCACACAGTGTGTTTTGATTGAAGCTCAACTCACGAAGATTTATTCCTGTTTGCGGGATACTCAGAAACTCTTGAGAACGTAGGAGGAGGAACATTTTACTACAATGCAATGAGAATATTAACAGGACCGTGACGAAATCTTCCCAATACAAATATGACCAACACCCCCAACACACGTGGGGTGTGTACTTGGGACCCCCCCCCCCCCCCGAATGTATTTAAGGTGGCGCGCCCATGATACAGCCTCCGAATGAGACCTGCTTTGAAGAGGGAAAAGTTCATTAACTTGAGCTTGGTGTTTGGGTCTTTACGTATGTAATTAGACCTTCAACTGTAATTAGGATGGCAGCCTTCCCCCAGACAAGAGCAAGATGGCTTTTATATTAGCCTATTTTTTTTTCTTATTTTTAATTTTTCTAATCCTGGCTTAGACAGCGGCTCTTTTGCTGTTATGGTTACAAGTTTCTGAATCTTGGCCCATAGGTCTCTAGCGCCACCTTGTGGACTTTTACAGTATTGCAATTAGCTGTTGGGATAACCTTCAAATCAGGAATTAGGAATTTGGTTATCGACTCAGAGAGGGTGTGAGTTTTACTGGCAAGTGAAGCAAAACTCAGATTTATTTTAAAATAAATCAAATCCAGGCATAGCGTTTTTAAGAGTTATCCATGAATATTTTCCTTGATTGAGCCGCTAAAGTGGCATTGCGGGAGAAATCCTGAATGTCTGTTTTGTTTAAAACAAATACAGTTCTTTCCGAGTGTCTACTTTCTTTAAAACAAAACAGCCTAGAGCCTCCAAAGAGACTGCTGGAAGTTAGAAAGAAAATGACGTAAGAGCAGAGCGGTGCCGACTGAGTCATGGGACAGTAGCAGCGTGAAAACTAGGCTCAAACACTAAGCGTTTCCCAAATGTAATGCATTTGGGGCAGGAACAGAATCGTTTCTGCTCAGTGAGCTGCAGCTCAGGAAACAGTTTCTGTTGAGTATCCGGGACATTTGGAAAAGGCTCAGGCAGATGCCTGTCCCTGCTCTGTCTCAAGGTCAGTGCCCGAGTCAGGGTGCACACAGCCCTCCTCGTCCCTTCCTTTGCGTGGGTGATGTGGAGGAGTATCTTCCGGTTGATTTTCTTTTGACAAGCCAGATCTTGAATTCCCTCTAAATTCTCTTTCCCCATCCATTGATCAGAGCAGTCATGGTCTCTCGTTTCTCTAGTAGTTTCTGGAGATGGTCTGTTCAGTGCCGATGATGCTGCCCTTCCCCAGGGTTCACTTCCTTTTGGTGACTGCCACTGTGTCTTGGCAAACAGCCAGTAATGTGGCGGGACCTGTTTTCCCCTCCCTCTCTCTCCTCCCCTTTCTCCCTCTCCCCCTCCCCCTCCCCTTTCTTCCTCTCCCCCTTCCCTTTTTCCCTCTCCCTCCCTCCTTCCCTCCCTCCTCTCCCTCTCTCACCCCCTGTCCCCCCTTTCTCCCCTTCTCCCTCTCTCCCCCTGCCCCCTCTCAGTTTCTTTCTTTCGTGTATAATATTCTCTTACATGATAACCCAAATTTTAGGGAATTCCCCTCCTCACATATAATTACTGTGATTTTTACAGTTAAGAACGTGAAAGTGTGACACGCGACGGAACGGATTGCTCTGGTCGCTTCTAGTGTACCGCTGGGTGGCGTCCAGTTCATTGCTTCACTTGTGCACGGTCCGGAGCCCACTCCAGAGCACTCCTCATCGTCCCCGTCCGAAACCGTTCGCAAACAGGAGCTTCCATTGCCACCCCTCCAGGTTCTGGCTGCCACCGTCCTATCCGCATGAATTTGGCCGATGGAGGAGTCTTACATGAGTGGGATCCTGTGGCTCCCTACCCCCGACTGCCTTATTTCACTAAACACAATGTCCACAAGGTTCTTCAGCACTGAGCTATGTGTCAAAACTGCCTTCATTTCAAAAGACTGAATAACGTCCCATTGCATGTAGAGGCTGCATGCAGCTTGCCCATTCACCCAGCAATGGACAGTGAGGTTCCTTCTACCCTTTGGCTGTTAGAAATGACACCTCTAAGAATAGGAGTGTATGAGGGTGTGTATAAATTAAGAATTAAAACTTACGCAATACATGCAAATCGGATAATCAAGTGAATCTGTGTGCACACACCACAGAGCTCTGCCCTCTCCTAAGACTTCACTTTGTGTGTGTGTGTTTTTAAAACATTGCAAATTTGGAAGCGGCTCACTGTGTATCCTCCCCCTCCTGGTTGACTTTGGTGTGTCTGTGGTACTTGTACCACCTACACATTGCTGAGGGGTGGGCTGCTGAGCATTGCTGTTCACCTCATTTACTGTGCTTCCTTGTTTGAACACATCGTAGCCCCTGCTCTGCTGGCAGAAAGCAGAGGCCAGGCAGTATTCCATAGCACATGCTATTGTAATGTATCTAGGATAAGTTTTTACTCCTTTCCAGTTTCCCGCTTTCGAGACAGGGTCTCATGTAGCCCAGGCTTTCCTCAAAGTCCCTATATAACTGTGGATGACCCTGAATTCACGATCCGCCTGCCTCCACTTTCTGGGTTCTGGGTTTACAAGGGTGTGCCACATGCCTGGTGTTAAGGGTCAGACTGGGGACTCAGCCTGTTAGTCAAGGGCTCCACCAACTGGGCCACAGATGAGAATCTCTCTCGTTCATTTGGGTTCCAGCTGCTGTCAACGGCCAGGTCTGGGTTCATGGTCCTGCCGCACCTGGAGTCTGTGGATGTCTGTGACCCGTGTCACCTCGGGACCACAGGAACCATGTGTGATACAATCAGAGGGCCATGCTGAGCTGGGCCCGCCCCTTGCTGGACCCCGCAGCAAGAGAGCTGGCCCCAACCCTCATGGGAGAGCTAACCTTCCCTCCCCCTGAACTTGGGAGAGATCCCCTCCCCCATACACCACAGGCAAGGGAGAACTGACCCTGATGGCATGGGTGGAGGGGACTAGGAGGTGAGCAGAATTAGGGTGTATGATGTGAAACCCCCAAAGATACAATAAATAAATTACTTTAAATAATAGAGAAAAAAATCTAGTTTTTTGAGACAGCCCTGACTGTTCTGGAACTCACTCTGTAGACCAAGCTGGCTGTGGACTCAGAGATCTGCCTGCCTTTTCCTCCCAAGTGCTGGGATTAAAGGTGTGCACCACCATCGGAGGTCCCTTATTCTTTCTGTAAAAGACTCGGTTCATTTCTGTGCACCAGTCACATTTGTAGGTACCCTTGGTGGTCAGAAGAGGGCATCAGATCCCCTGGAGAACTATGGCTGTCTGGCCGTGCTCTAAACTGCTTGAGCCATCTCTCTAACCCCTCCTTCCTAGGTTCTTGTGTGAGGACTCTGGAAAGATACTCCACCACCCCGGAACTTATGCAGTGGCTGCAGGCCTTCCTGTAGAAGCTGTCCTTATTGAAGAACTCCGGTGATTTGTGGCTATATTAAAATTCTCACACTTAGTCCCAGCTGCAACAAATGACCCGGAGACGTGAAGCAAAGCAGAAAAGTTTTCCTTAGGAAGTTCAACTTAATCACTCCGCTGTGTCCCCGGGTGTCTAGGGAACTAATGGACCCCAAGGTTTAGGGTGACTGACATGCCTATGGAGTGCGTGCCACTGGCTTTAATGCAATCTCCCCAAATCATGGCTTCGCCGTCAGGGAGCAGAATCAAATGCGTAGTGCAGTTTCTAATTCAGTAAATTAACGGAGCACTTGAGCGAATATTTTGTCCTATTTGACGTACAATTAGCTCTTAGTTTACAGTTTGGTTTACTCGCTGACACTTGCAAGGCACTAAATAAGTGTCAAGTGAGCTGCGAAGAACGGTGTTAAGGATGCAACAGTGTTTGTTGGAGAACTTCCCACGTAAGGGGACTCCGAAATCTTGAATGAAATCCATTTCAATGGAAGACCGTTAGAATGTGTACGTTGAGAGCTCATAGGGGAATGTGAGGTTCCCTACCATATCAACACTGTCTGCACCATTCCCTGGAGAAATTGAAGCCCACCATGTGGTGCCA